GAGGGGAGAGGTGAAATACAAAGAGATTTTTAAAAACAATATGGAGTGGGGGGGTGGGGCATGACAACACTGAGGTTTTAGCGTTTGTCGAGACTAAAATGTCCCTTGTGAATCAATCTATAGGGCTATGAAAAAAAAAATACCTTGATATAGATATCTGCGAATCGAACACAGAACTCCAAAATTTCTAGGCGCGCCTTGTAACCACTGTACAAATATCAAATTGCCGTAAAACTCAAAAGTTTGGTTTTCAAATTTAGCTGTGACATCCTCGTAGGTGGAATATGAGGAGGGTGGGTAATTGATTCATGTTTTTGCGTTGTGTGTTCCCTCTACTGGTTTTGTGTTTGTGTGTGTCACTTTTATCCTTATCACAATCTGTACCCCTAATAAAGTGGCCCAGTTGGTACCAGGTTGGGCTATTGTGAGGTTAACTCTGGTCCGAATTCTCAACCTGGTTTTCTTGAACTTGCGTGTATAGGAAATGTTCAAGGGTCCCCACTGAGATGGTGAGGTCCTATCAGAAAGTGACGTTTAGTTTGATGTCGACGTCTTTTAAATGAGTTTACAGTTTTAGTAGGAGCGCAATACCCTGTAGACAACAGACCTTTGTCGTACCCCTCCCCCACCCCCACACACCCCCACACACCCCCCACACACCCCAAAAATCACAGCGTACCTACCATACAATGCAATAAAGAAGTACATCTTGTAAGAACCAAACAAGTTTAATCACAGACAGGAATTCTTGACAATTGAGTCTTTCATAACAACACGGATGGACAACACTGAATAGATCATATTCTTGCGTTCTTTTCATAAGCGCTCAGACATTCTACTTGTAAGCTATTGGATAGAGCGCTGTGTTCCCACCTCCTAAAGTAAAAACCTTAATAAGAGTTGAAAGTAGCGTCAAACCTATACAGCTTCTCAGTTTTCAAAGCGCTACATAAAAACAGTATATTAACCTATCTAGCATCTACGTTATTCTTATTTTTGTTAAA